CCCCTCCGTCCGCGCTGAGCAGTGATGCAGCAGCCAGGGAAGCACAGCCCGGACAGAGACCCCACGTAACCCTGGAACAATGAACTCCTGTCCTGCCAGGGCCGGGTGAGCAGCTCCGTTCCTCCAGCCAGGAAGGAACCAACTCCCTTTCCAAATACTGCTCTTGCAAAGGCAACTCATCCTCTTCGGAGGGAGGGACAGGAATAGAAAGAGCTGAACACCACACCCTCCAAAGGGCTCTCTGTATCCTTATGACTTGCAGTGTTCCTTGTGGGGCAAGGACCGGTCCTACTGCTTGTTTCCACATGGCACCGCACACGTGGGAGCGGCACCAACCGCCCCGTTTACCACTCACAGGTGAGGAGACACTTCATAGAAGCTGACACCACGGTACCGCTCCATGTTCTGTTTGCTGTAGATTTCCAGTTCCTTGTATGGATTAACAGACACCAGAACCGAGCCGATGTATGTCTGAAAGAGAGAACACGCAGCAGAGCGGTTACAGAAGCTCCGGCAGCGCTCGCTGAGAGCCCAGCCGGCTCTGAGGGCCGTACAGGCCGACCAGGGCTGCCTGCAGCGGTGCAGGGGGGTTGCCGAGGGCTCCCAGCGAGGCCTAAGGCTTCTTCAAGCGACCCCTTAGCGCAGGGAGAATGACTTTGCAGGATTTAGGCTAGACATGTTATCCTGGCTGAAAACTCAGCACCGACAAGCAGTTTTAACAAGCAAGAATGCTGGATCATTTCTGAGGGACCCTTTGGGGGCACACCTGGCGTTGCTGGAAGCCCAGCACAGAGCAAATTTGTGCAATGGAAGAACGTGGCCTGAGTTGGATTGTCGGTGCTGGCCAGCCCTGTGGATGCCAGCAGACCCCAACGGGATGCTGCACGAGCCCCTGCTGCTGTTAACACCACGGATACTCTGCATCCCAGAGCAGTTCTGCCACAAGCAACCACGGTCTGTTAAAGCTGACGCCGCCACCACCTCCAAATCCACCTGCAGAGGAAAGCTGTGGTCTCTCCTCTGCAGCAAACACCCAAATGCAGGCCAAGGGATGAACACCGGCTCCTGTCGCTCTGCTACTCACATAGATCAGGTTCTCCTTGAAGCGCTTACGCAGGTTTTCAATAAAGGCGGCTTCGCTGGTGAAGTTCTCAAGCAGGACAAAATCCTGCACCCCGACGCGGTCGCGGGCGGTCAGAGCGCTCTCCATGGTCAGCCGAAGGCCGTTCGCCCCCGCACCCTGCAACCAAGAGCAAAGGAAGGTTGGGGTATCTGGGGGTTCGTACGCAGCTCGCTGAGGCCACAGTGATTAACCACAGTTGCCCACGGACAACCTGTATCAGGAGGGGGTATCAGCCACCCCGCTACTGCCCAAAGCGCTGGTTGGCGTGTGCTCACACCGTGTCACCCGGTTCATACCACCTGCTTGTCCATCAGCTGCTCGGGTGGAAGTCAAGCCAGCACTAGGGAAAAGCTATCACTAGGTTTCCAATCACTGCCAATCCATCAATCAGACACGCGTTTCGTAAAGAGAATAAAACTCGTATTTCCTTTCCCAGGCAGCCTTCGGCGGGAGCGGGACTGAAATGTGCTCTCCTCTCTCCCAACGGGAAGTCGTTTCGAGGTAAGGAATCTTTCGTGACTCATGATGATTCATGTCATGAGCAAACAGCGTCACGTTGCTGACCGATTTAAAAGCTTTAGCAAGACACCCAATGGGAAAACTCGTAACTAACGAGAAACGGGCATTTCCGCACCCCACGCCACCGAATTGACTGCGACACCAACACCTGCCCCGTGCATCGGCAACTTCTGTTCCCTGACCCCTTTTAAACGTGACATTTTCAGTGGGACGTGGCTCAGACACAACCTTCCTTGGAAAACACAGCCCTGCTGACTTCTCACTTCACCCAACCTCACGGACGAGCAGGAGGGGAAGTGTGCATCGAGTGACTCAGCCGCGGCTCGCGGGGAAAACGTCTGCTGAAGGCAGTCGGACCCGACGGACAGAAGACGTACGAGGCGACGGAGCCGAGAGACACTATGGGAATCAGGGATGGGACATAGGACGGATTAAACCGTTTGCCTCACACCTGTCTGCGTTTCCTTGTTGTATCCTTAAATCCTTCTCACTCTGCAAACTCCTCACGGCAAGCGCCCTTCCCCTGAAGCATTGTAACGGAGGGCAGGGAGTGACAGGACAAGGGGTAACGGGGTTAAACGGACAGAGGGAGATTGGGATGGGACATCAGGAAGGAATTCTTCCCGGAGAGGGTGGGGAGCACTGGAACAGGTTGCCCAGAGAAGCTGTGGATGCCCCATCCCTGGAAGTGTCCAAGGCCAGGCTGGATGAGGCTTGGAGCAACCTGGGCTGGTGGAAGGTGTCCCTGCATGAAACCATCAGCTTTCAGGAAGAAAAATTAGTTCCTATAACTGGCTACTGGGAACTGGCAAATCCCGGCCTACTCCGATGGCTCAGATACCACAGAGAAATGTCATTTTAATGCCTTTGTGGTTTTTTTTTTTTTTTTCCAAACCAGGCTCCTGGTCTGGGAGGTGTGATCTCTGAGCTTTGAAATACTCAGTTTGGGAGGAATTCTGTAGATCATTTCATAAGTAATCTTCCTAAAATGCCAAAGGCTTTCCAAGCCAATTCCTCCACACCTTCAGCCTTGTTGGCTTCTACTCTCTTTGCCAAGATGAAGGGGAAAGGGGTAAGCCCTGGAGAAGAAAGGTGGTGAGATAAAGGACAACACTGGTGAAGGAAACGGAGATAAATCACACACAAGTAAGCTCTGCCTAGGAATTAGAACACTTCTATCAGAGCAGCGCAGTCCCAGAGCAGGTTTTGGACGAGGTAATGGGAACAAAGGCAAAACCAAAAGAAAATAACCAGTTTTCAAGTGGGTAAGTTTATGAATACAGCTTTAAAACACAGCCGCCTCAAAAAATGACTAAGGAGAAACTTCCGCCCTCGCACAGTTAATCCAAGTTTATATAATCCTGAAGACTTTCACTTGGCAGTTTCAGCAGCTCTTTCATCAGCCACTCCCGCTCGCTCAGGGCAAGCCGATCCCAGCTCTACACGTCCAGCCCAAGGGAGACGCCGTTGATCCTACCTACAACACTTGGGCCGCCTCCTCCGGGACAGGCATCAGGGCTACGGACCCTCCGGCCTCCTCCACGCTTCTTTCTCCTCCCTTGACTCCAGCTTCTCCCCGTGAGAACAAAATAACTACCTGGAATTTTCAGTCAGTTTTAAAAAAACACACCTAAATGCAACTTTGCAGCAGGAAGCCAGGTTATCTAGTTGATGTAACGCAGCCAGATCCTCCGGGACGTAAACTTTAATCAGCCTTGTGCCTCCCAAGCCCAATGCAAATACAAACGTCAGCCATAAACCACAGCTGAGCAACAGGCGCTTCCCTGTGCCAGCATGTGCTCGTCCGCTCTACTGCTACGTCCAAGTCTAGCACCGACTTAAAAATGTCAGCCTTAACTATCTGACTGCCAACAGCTTCAACGGATGCAAGGTAAAAGGAGGTGACAAATAAATCCTTTCTGCTAAAGGGAAATACAGCAGTAATGCAGAAGGAAGAAAGCGGGGAAAAAAGACACTAATTAGGAAAAAATAACCATAATGATGACCATATGTTCCTACGGAATGATGAGCGTGACACTAAGGCACCGAATACATTAAAATAACTAAACTGTTAGCTTCTTCATGTTAGCAGGCAGACATGAAATCTGGTGGCTGTGAATTAATGCCAGAAAGCCCCGTCTGGGGGTTAAACGCGTTACAGCGCAGCTAATGAACCATTACAGCAGCTTGCCCACTGCCAGGGCCAGCTCCCTTCGCGTCTCTGCGGCGGATAGATTTATCCCTGCCGGAACGCCTCCGGCTGACGTACGGCTCCTTTACAACAGCCTCTGCCCCGTGCTACGCAAGGGATCAGCTGGGACACTCAACGCCCTGCTGCAGGGAGTAGGTATTCCGGGTAATTGGGAGGATATGGGCCGTGAGGGTCCGATCGGACCCTGCCGTGTGACAACCTGTTTTCCTTGGAGCTGCCAAGAGAGCGCAGCTTTAACCCATTTTCCCACACTGCTTCCACACATCGTCACTCTCAACGGCCAACAGATACGGCGACACAAGGCTGGGAACCGCCGGGAAGATGGGAGCAGCATTTCGTCAGCCTGGCCAGTTCCCGACAGTTTTAAGTGCTCGTGAAACTACCACCTAAGCGGCGGGTTAGGTCCAGCCTAAGGGCTCACCACCACCGAACCGGAACTCATCCCCTCCTGCGGACTTTGCCTCCCTGGCACGTGTTAACGCAAGCAACTACCTGCGCCTGAGCCAAACCAACGCAACTCGCTAAGCCAGCGAAACAAGGAGCCGGCATTTTCCTGGCGAGGCTGAAGGAGAGCGTCAGGCCCAGGGCACGGAAGGGGAGCAGAGATGCCCTTTTGACAGTAACGGGTGGTGAGGTTCACTCAGCCGTGTGCAACTTCACCCTGCCTAGAGGAACCGAAAGGAGGACCGGGATCCCAACCTTTGCGGGATAGACCATGCTAAGGCCACACCCAGCCCAGGCTGCAAACAGGGAATTACAAAAATCTGAGCAATCCCCACCGGAGCTTGGTGCCTGGGGGCTCAGGGGTGCCTGGGCCTTCTCCCCAAGTGCCCTTTGGTCTCATACTGAATCACCCTCCTAATGGTCACTCCTGCTTGAGGAAGCACACGCTGACTTTGGCCACGGCGTTTCCAAACCCACCCCAACGCGCTGCTCCAAGGGACTCATTCCCACACTATTTTAACCCGCTCCTCGCTTTTAATGCCTTCTCCAGAGCCGTCAGCACAACAGTGGCTCGCAGCCAGGAAAGGAAAGGCTGTCACTCCTGAACGGCCGGGACCAAGCCAGTGCAATCACCAGAGCGGGACCACTTCCTCACGACTCCTTCTTCCGTGCGATTAGATTTTGGGAGAGACTTTCAGCTGGTGCGAACTGGCGCTGCTAGATGCAGCCTGCAGAGCCAGGTTTATGTTGGCTGGGGTTCCAGCCTGTCTTTGTACTCACAGAGAGTCAACAAGACCAGAAAATACCCTTCACAACAACTCCCGGGAGTACACCGGCGCTCGACTATACCCGAGAGTTTCCTAAAGTGAACCAGTCTGACACGTCATCATGAAAGTGTAAACAAACATTTCTCTTTTAAACGATGCTAAATGCCAAAGTATGATACAGACCTTCCTCTGCTTAGGACTTGGAGATCTAATACACCTCAGAAATGAAACCCCAGACCTTTTGCTCTGCACAACAAAATCCAAAGTCCCTGAGTCACTCAGTCTGAGCACATTTGGGAAATTGTCCTTCGTGAGGGAAGACAGAGGGCAACTCCGCCAGGAGCAGAGATCAGGGGTGATGTGAACCAGGCAAGAAACTTCCCCCCCAGCTTTGCCCATCGGCTGGTCAGAGGCTGTGCAACCCCCCCATACCCCAGCGTGTGTGTAGGGAGGAGTCTTTTACACCAAAATTTCCCAGCCCTGATTTTCCCAGCGGGATACGGGAGTGGTCAGTGCTGGCACAGCTACCCCAGACACACAAGTGCTGCTGATGCCTGAGAGAACAGGCAGCTCTGGCAGCTCAGGCAACTCGCTCCATCCTGGAGCATCCCTGAGTGATGCACGTGAAAGCAGCCGGAGCTCTCGGGGTGAGAGGGAAGCTTTATCATCGGCTAATTTAGAAAGAGAAGTCACACAACATAAACCAGACTGCTAGTTCTACATCTAAAATGCCTGGTTCTGTGGGACGATGCCTTGTCACAGACCGGCTGGTGCCCGTTCCGCAGGCCCGGAGACTGGCACGACGACCGCGGGAAGCGGGTGCTGTATGGGAAGGGGCAGGACTCTTCATCTCAGTATCAAGTGAAAGGTGATTGATCTGTGGGTTCCAGAAATAGTTACGAAGCCGGGAACGGAAGAACAGGCAAGAACCGAATGCGAGTGGGAAGGGAAATCCAGATTAGATTCTGGAAGACAATAAGTCTGAACCGAGAACGAACCTCGGGTGGGGAGTGGCAGTTGACACACATTTGTCTCCTGGACAGTATGACATTCTTCAGCTGTGCCAAAGCTGCAGGAAGGAAAAAACATTCCTCTGCTTTCTACTCCCACTCTACAGCCTGAGACAGGGTTTGGACACGGCATGGGCTAGATAAAAATCAATCACTTTATCCAGGGCTTCGGTTCCTGGGCTACACGATGGGATAGCCCCTCCTTCCTTTTACATGGAGAAAGCAATAATGACAACCACTGAGGTGGGCCTGGATCAAGGGACCCTGCCAGAGCAAAGCACAGCCTCCTGGGATCCTCCTCCCTCCTGCCACATGGAAAATCAGCTGGACACAGAGCTCTGCCAGTCACCGGCGGGGTTGGAAAGAGGGTTCTCCGGGGGGCAGCTCCGGGTCACGTGAAAATCCTCTGCAACCAGGCACATGGAATTACCTTCCCCTCCTGAAGCCACCTCAGCTCAGTCAACAACTTATATGACACAAATCTCATCTATTCGGCTTGTTTAGCTAAAAAATGAAATAACATAATGTTTGGGTTTGCTTTTAACTATGGAAGCCCAGCGAGAGGGTGGTAAGCTGTTCTGGATGGACAGAACTGTTGGATGGAATGGGATCAAAACCAGGTAACAACTCCTGACAACACTCACTGGGGCTGAAGGGAACAACTTCAAAAGAGTCATCACGTCAGAGGCTGCCACTCAAGGCCCATTTATAGCAGAATCACTTTTTATTCCTCTTTTGGAGCAATACATCCCCAACACAGGAATGTCTGGAGTCAGGGAGCACTTGCCCATGCTCAGAACCTGGTTCTCCCTCTCTGAGACTTCCCCCCTGCCCCAGATCCTAAACCAGATGTTGGAAGGGTGTAACTACAGAATACACTAATTAAAAAACCATATTTATTACAGAGAAATGCTACTTCCTTTTCTAACTCTTGAACACGATCTATTTTGAAGTCTTCCATATACTAAGCAGGGCCAAACCAGGACATGCTAACACAAAGTAATGGGAAGCACAGGGGAAACAAGCTTATCCTGCTCTCACAGAAATTTGTTACATCCCCACAAGCAAACTGCCCAGAAGTTAAAAGTTCTCCGAGCTACAGAACCCTGAAACGCCAAGGGGAAACGTGAGCGACGCATCACACCGTGTGCACGAATGACCACGCGCACGCAGGTCACGGGGAGTTCCAGCTGAGAAAGCAAAAATCTAATCTTTCCACAAACAGCAACGCAGCGTGCGGACACTGCTGCAGTTAATTATGACTTTTAATATATTTCAACACTGACATCTGACATTTGCAATATCCAGAATAGTAAGAATCCATCTAAGGAGCTCAAGTGTAAATCAGAAATGCAAATTATGATGGACCAGCAAGCCGTGGAGATTTGCATGGCAAAAGGGTTCATTTGTTCAATGTTTAGAACATAATTATATTTTCTACACTTTTCGGGGGAGGGAGAGGGGAGTAAGTTAGGGAAAAGAGAAGCAGTTAGTGGTGAAAAGAAAAAGGTAGTTATAAGAACTGACTTGATGGAGAAGAAAAATGTTCACCCCTAAGAGGGGATGCTGATATTTCAATCAACAAGCTAAATATAAAACAGCAGTAAGAAAAATGAACTAGGCGAACCAGAAAGATCACCAAGGCTGGAAAAGTAAATACGCTGAATTTCTATATTTAGGGAGCTGACATTTTTGCCCCTGAGCAGACGACACAAGCTGTTGCTGGCTACTGTTGTTGCTGACGGTGTGCACAGCAGCACTACCTGCGACCCCGCCAGCGCATCCCACAGCCGCCTCAGAGGACAGACGACACAGAAAGCAAGAACTCGGACCACTGCCCTTCCACGTAAGTGTTGTGATGGAATTCCAGGTCAGACCGAGCAGGATTGGGGAGCAGAAACGCAAACACTGCTCCACCGGCCTCCCGGCCTGCAGCCATGGGGAGCCCCACATCCCTACTCACTGCTCGTGGGTACCACGTTCCCCTAACGCACGCATCCCTTCGCCTCTCTCACTGCGGATACCGCAGGTCTCGCACTCCTGCAGCACTCTGCCCTTCCCCACGAGTGCTCCCACCTTCTCCGCTGGATTCCACACGTCCCACACAACCATTATGTCTCTCAAGGCTAGTAAAGCTTTCCGACCAGAACAAGTACTCCAGCGCATTCCCAGGCCACGCGCAGGGCACTTCCACACCCACACGTTCTCCCGGAGAACATCAGCACTGCTGCAGAGAGCACCGCTGGGTCTCACCCTCTCAAGTACCACACGTAGACCTCCCCCTGCGCCCACTGCTGCCCCCAGCTTCGCAGGCCCTGCCGCCGCCGTGCCAACCAGAATCCAAGCACTGTCATCTCCACCTTCCCATGTGCTGCAGGGAGGGACTAGGCAGGACCTCCAGAGGCTCTGCGCTTCCCTCCATCACGAGGATCCTTGCGCAGTGGTCAACTGTTTGGGAACAGAGGCAAGGATCTCCAGGTGGTGCAGGTAATGGGACACTCCAGCCCCACGCTAACTTCTGCAACACTCAGAATTGGTTAAACCCGCAGACGTGACATTTGCAATCCCTCCCTTCCTAAATTAGGTGAGTCTACCAATTAAAGCCTTGAACATTGTTACCCAGCCAAAACCCCACAGACCCTTTTTTATAACGTTCCCTTCATTCTTGACCTCAACACCTCCAGCACCGGTGAGTCCCGTGCCCCAGTTACGCGCTGTACGAGAATAACCATCGCACCTCTGGCAACCTTCAACGTAACTGAATGCCCCTCCGTCGCCGCGCAGAGAACGGGCGCTCCCGACCTGCCTCCCATGTGGCACTACTGCTCGTGTATTCTTTTCCCTCCTCTCTTACTCATCTCTTTTTCCAGGTAACAATCCCGGTCTCCTCAACCTTTTGCCAACTCGTTTCCCTAGCTGGGGCGGCTGTCCTGCAGTGCCCTACACAGATCCAGCCTTCCTGGCTGCTGCGAAAACACGGACAAAGTTTTAAGTAAACACACCCTGAAGGAGCCGAGTGGCAGCCAGTCCTTTGGCAGGGATTTCCCGCCGTTCCCCCGTTTCCCGCCGTTCCCCAGGGTGGGAGTTAAAGCCCCTTGTCCCGGGAAGGTGACAAGCGGAGCCCAGCACCAGTGCGAGACCTCCGCACCCTCATGCCCCCTCCAAGGAAAAGCTCCACCCTTTCTTCTCCCCTAAGGCAGCGCTCAGCTTTCCCCCTCTCTTCCCACTTTCTCAACTCCCACCTTGGCTTCCTCCTCCAAACATGTATCTCCTGGGGTTGTTTTCCTATTTCAACCCCTCTCACACAACTTCCCAGCCACGGGGTCGTTCACACAGCAGGCTGAAGCATTTCCCTTTCCCGACGAAGCCTTTTTCCCTTCTTCCCAGCCCGGAGACCCGTCTGAGAGCTGGACGCCCACCAGAACAGTTCAATAAAGCTTACCGCGCCTCTGAACTTCATGTTGCCTCCCGCCAGCTCCCGCAGCACACGCAGGGACTCCGGTCACGCTGCTGCGAAAAGCAGGAACCCGAGGACACGTTCTCTCTCCTGTCAGTTGCCTTTTTTCCTCTCTCATGACATTTTCGGTGCAGGCAGAACTCCCTCCCTCCCGCCAGCTCCTACTGGAGCATCCTGGAGAGGGCGTTTTAGGAGGAGAAGGAGAGGAACTCTCCTCCCCTCCCAGAGAGACGAGCAAGAGAGGGAGGTCAGGAGAAGTCAGCTGTTCCCTGTCCCCTGCCTTCCCCAACGACAGGGAAAAACGGAGAGAGAAGTAATCACAGCGCTGGAAAAGCCGGCGCAGAGCCCGACACACAAACCACAGCAAACGGGCAGGAAGCGAGACGCTCCAGGACGGCGATTTTGGCAGTGGGACAGCAGCAGTGCCAGCAGGGTCCCCAAACCCACCCCCGACCACAGCAAATCCCTGGGCTTGCCGTTACGCTTGTTGTCGCTCTGGCAGCAAATCGAGGGGCCGCAAAGAGCCTGGGGTAGGGCAGCTGCAACTGCAAGGACTTTGCATGCTGGCTCACACCCCCCCGAGGGTCCCCGAGGTGCTCCCCAAACACACCACCCCTCCTCGCAGGACGCAGCCAGGCCGCCGTTACCCCCACCCCGGCCCGTTCCGCTGCCTCTGGGGCCGTCGGGGTCTCACACAGAACAAATGAACGGCCACAGCTACAGCAAGAGTGTGAGAAACTGCCCCCGCTACGGGCATTCTGGCAAACCCCGGAATGCATATGCAGCCTTTGCTAGCGCCGGGCGGGAAGTGAAAGGACGCGGGGCAATGGAAGCAAGCTGGAAGAAGGGAAATTCCAATCAGATATTGGGAAATTGCTTTTGCACAACGAGCGCCGTCAAATACTGAAACAAGGGCCTATGACTTGCGAAACCCCATTCTTGTTGATATTTAAGACTCAACCAATGCCTGAGCAACCGGATCAGAACTGGCCCTGTGTGGAACTGGACCAGAGCTCTCCACAGATCCCTTCCAACCGAAAATTATTCCATAATTCTCTTAACTATTTTACCCCTCAATGGTCTAAGCTACGTGTCATCCTAAAACGAATTACAGGTACAGCAAATGAAGCGAAAGATCTGCTCCAGCCAGCACACCGCCCTGGCCCAGGGCCCAGCCAAAGGGTTCCACCCCCCAGGTATCTCAGGTGAGGAGCTATGAGCTCCCGGAGCTGCTGTCCAGCAGCAGCACAGGGGGCCGGAGAGCCCCCCCGGAGAGGAGTTCTGCCCTGAGCCAGGAGACTCTCCGTTTCCAAGCATCAGCAACTAAACCAAGTTAGTCAGCCGCCTGACCTGACGCGTGGCAGCTATCGAGGAAGGGTGGTGTCCGTCAGCACGTCCCCCAACAGGGATAATCCCAATCCACAGAGCACTGTGCCACCCCGTTCTCCCTTACACCACCCTAAGGAACAAGCTGTGCTTGGCCGAGGCACATGGCTACAAACTGGGCGCAGGTTTATCCGTGGGGTACCAGGCCCCCCACACACGGCAAAGCACCTGACCCCCACCCTAGGGGGGTCTCAGGCTCAGCCTAATGCTCCAGAGGTCACTTGTTCTCAATGCAGGCGGCCACATCTGCACTGAGCAAACAGTGATCCAGACAACGCCTCATTTTCCAGAGGAACCTTGTCGAACGGGAATAGAAGCTCTGCGTGGTCTTCTGGAAATGGGTACCATCACCAGCTCACTCCACGAGGAGGGGCACCGAGGGGGCAACTGCAACAACGCCCCTTTGGCATCATAAAACCCTTTTGGAGAATATTGCTTATTTCATATTATTTTCCTTCTCCAAGCGGAGAAGGCTTTCCTCATGGTCACAGGATAAAGAATAAAGTAGGAATAAACCACTTCCCTGCCTCCAAAAAGGCTCTCTGGCCCTCAGGTGTATTAGTCTCGGGTCAGACGCGATCGCAGGACCCCAGGCACCATGCAGCACCCCTGAGTAAGCCCTACTCTACGTGTCCGCCCAGGACCCACACTGCAAGTGTCTCGGTTGTTGGAATCCATCGGAAGTGGTCCCTCGTGGCAGTCACCCCCTCGACTCTGCAGCACCAACAGGCGGATTCTGTAGGTGCTGAACATGCAGAGCCATGAAACCTAAGCTCAGATGCTGCAGTTTCATGGCTGGCACTACCTGGAGTCAGCTCTGCTCAAAGGTTCGGGTGGGGTTTTTCTTATCAAAACGCATCCTTCTCAGATTTATTACAGAAAGGGTAAAGTCAAGTTCTAAAGTAAATGGATTTAAAGCAAAAATCTAAAAAGCTTTAAAGCAAAGGAGGTAAACAAGGGCCTGCACAGCCACTGCTCAGACGGGAGGCTATTTAAAACCAGAGACGTAGCAGATGTCGTGGTGCGGTGCAGCACTCCCCTCTAATTAGCTCTGACCCAAGGCACTGATCCCAGCGCTCCCGCGCTGTGGTGGATGTCATCAGCAGGGGAACAATGTGCCAACCGTTACGGAGTGGTACGTGGTTGTACGTGGTACATCTCAATCCTTGCACAGCTCTCCGGCATTGTTCTTACGCACTTCTTCCCGTCATTCGGGGAATTATTAACGGGGACAGCCTCGGGACACAGCTCAGGGCCGGGGTTAGCATCCGCCTGTGTCAGAGCATGGAAGGCAGCAGGCAGTGCTCCGCAGCCCCGTGCAGCGCAGGAGTATGGACAGGATCAGAGGTAATGGAAGCTACACCTCACAGCAGCCACCGCTGAACACAACAGCAAGCCCTGAGCCTGGAGTCCTCCAGGTATAATCAGCGCTGTAGCCCAGTGGCTCCGATTCCTCAGGAGCAGAACGTCAGCTTTCCCTCATCGTTCCTCAAATCAGCCCAGTTGTAGCCAAACACCAGAGTCAATAATTTTAAGTTCGGTGTTAGCCCAAAGTTACCTTCACATTAACAACTTTGCTTTCCCCCCCGTTTACACCTCCTGCCACTTCTCAGAATACATCTCACCACTGAAAATGCCAACAAGAGAATGAATATACAAGAGCCCAATGTTCAGAAGGGCACTTTTACACATTTCCCTTGGCTTTCTTATGCAGAAGAACCCTTGCATTTATTTATTCAGCGGGAAGATCTTTACCCAAAATGTTTTTTTCCACAGCCAAACTACTTCCCAGCTCTTGTGGGCGAGCAAAACACTCCAGTGTGTGGATTAGCCTAGGTTGAAAGGGGAAAAAAAATAATTGGAAAGCAGAGATAACCAACATAGATCTTGACTATTAAGGTGATAAAACCAGGCTCGCTCTTTCCAGCAAGAGCCCAGCCCTTGCCTGGGATTTCTGCTGAGAGTGGCTGGGCTTGCACCACTACAGGCAACCGCAGGCAGGGGTATGAATCAAGTTTTCCAGGCCTTGCCAGCTCCGAGTGACTCACGCAAAGCCTGGGTTAGAGCACTGGGATCGCTCTGCTCGCTGCTGATAAGCAGCTGATTCCCTGCATACAATTTCCCATTCAAAGCAAAGGGACTGGAAAGCTTTCCTGTCAGCCCTGCCCCAACGGGCTTGCAGTGCCTGACTTGCTAACTACACCCGCAAGCAGCGGCTCTACCGGGAAACAAAACGTTTGGCCCATGAAACCGGCATCAGCAAACCAGTCTTCCCCTCCGCCCTGCAGATCCCACTGCACAGTATCAATCCGGAGGTAGGAGACGCTGGTTCGGGTTTATGCTATTCAGAAATCAATGTGGATCACATCCACATTGTTCCAAAAGCAAAAGATACTAAGTTCATCTATCAACGCACGTATTTTTATAATACTCATTATTTCTGCCTTGCAAAACTAGGGAATAACACACATTCCAGAATTAGAAAGCACTTGGCAAAGATACCATGGGAAACAAACCACCCAAAACAGGCCAGGAATTTGAGGGCCCTTCCTCTCGCAGGTCAGAGGAACAGTTTAACAAATAGCCATTTCGTTAACCTATCTCACGTGTCCTGCTGCCCAGCCTAGACTGACCCAAAACTGATGAAAACACCTCACATTCCTACGACACCCAACAGCACAACTGGAGGTTCTGACGGACGTTTGGCCCACAGCTTAGGAATAAAGCCCTGTTCAAGCAGAGGCTGAACGTCTGACCGCACGGGAAGTGGGTAAATCAGTGCCCTGCCAAAGCAGCTACATCAAATATTGTCACAGGCTTGATAACGCGGCAGAACCTCTTCCCCATACCAGGAGCTCTTCTAAGAACTGCCTGGTTTCTACCCTCTGTGCTTGCATCTCCTCTTTCCCCCTGCGGAGAGCAGCCAGCCGACCCCAGCAAGCAGGAATAGAAGCCTGGACACAGACATCAGTCCCTGGAGACAGAGTATTCCTGCAGACCTATAAAGCCCATCATACTCACTCAAAAAGATGTCTCGAGATAGTCAAGTTCCTTGGTTTTCCTGCAAACTTCATGACACCATCACGAGTTCTCCGATCCTGTGTGAATGTGTTTGCACAAAAGCTTATAAACACGATAGGTGTGGCCAAAAGGGCTCAAACCCCAGAAGACAAAGAATATTTAAATTATTATTTTGGATACTAATTTATGCTTTGTGATGCCTAAAACCGTCAATACTGGTTCTGTTTGTTTCGAGAAAGCTTCAGCAGTGAGAACGCTGAGCCTCTCTTCTTCCCAAGCTCAGTCTGTCACAAACACTCAAGAACATTACAAAAAAATGGAAGATGACAAAGAATGAAGGTGCACACCTCTCCCTGGACTCCTACGCTTTCTCCGCGAGCGCCGCTCTCCGTTCCGACACCTCTGCTGACCGACGCGCCGGAGCAACGCCGGGTGACGACGCACATGTGCAGCACCCGCAGTTAGTTATGGCTCCCGCACACACACAATGACTCCGCGCCGATGACGCGAGTGGAAACCGAAACTGGGTTAATCTATCAAATTCAGATAAATTTTCCCTGTTGTTGCTCTCTGCTGAAGAAATGGGTGACTGGCTTTGCCAGTGACCACGGGAACAAAGTCCCACTTCACGACTACCAGATGCCCTTAACGTGATGCCGGTTTGTCTCACGCACGTGGCCACGCTCCC